TTTCAGTTTTGTAGTGTGGATAGGTGAATAAGATAATTGTAAGAAACTTCAGTCTTTTTTGTTTTAAGGAAGGTTTCATAAATAACTAATATATAATTTAATATGCAAGGCACTGCAAGGGAATTTGATTCTGGAAGATAGAGACAGCAAAACAGATTAAATTAAAGAATTTACAAAAGAGAGTGCTTGGTGTTTTATTGATATACGATGACAGAGGTTTCATCTGGCTTCTAAATAGTACCTGATTATCACTTTCCACAGGGCTTAGCAATACATGTTTAATGAGTACAGAACAATCCTATCGTCCTATCATTAACAGACAATTTGTCATTAAAAAAACGTTAATAAATGCAAAGCTGACTAATCAGTGGTTCTGCTCCAGGATGAAATAAAGTTGAACTAAACGATTTCATGCAAATATTTGTCATAATGCACTGCACAGTCTTGATGTTATGTGAAAGAGTTCATTTGGTAAGCGCTTAAGTAATTTGAGTTCTTGAAATCACAATTTATGAGTTAAAAAGTCCTAAAAGTGATTTGTGTGTAGTATTGAAGTAATTAGTCTGATAATAATATTCAATGTGAATTATTCTATATCTGTACCAATTTACAAAAACGGGCATTTTACTGATTTACTCTGGGCACAATACATTGCTCAGGGGTACAAGGTTGGATCACTGAGGATTTTAGCCCATAGCCTTCTAATTCCTGTGCTGTTCCACATCACTTTCTGTTGTGCAATAGGAAAGAGGTAGATAGTTCTACATTCAAGTCACAATGCTCCAGAGATTATCCCTGGGACATCAGTCCATTGTCGAGCCTACCTCCATCAATCACAGGACCCCATTCACACAGCTGGGTGGACTTGAGCAAACATGGTAAAGTACCTTACTGAGGGAACAAGAGTCTGCACCTGGAACTTGGACTCACCACCCAGCGGTTATGAGTAGAGAGACTTACCCACTGTACTATGCTGTACACACCCTAATGATAGGAAAAACTCAGAATAAAAACATGATCTATATTCGACCTCAGTAACTGACAGCAAACACAAATTTCAAAGTGAACATTAATTTTAAAGTGAAGTTGAACATGGAATGGTATATCCAGGCCTACCAAACAGACAAGTGTGATGAAGTAGGAAATCATTTTTGTAAATATGGTTAGAATACTCACTTTTATATTTTGTATACATTGAAGTTATAATGAATGATGTAAATCACTTGGCCTTCTATACCAAGGCAAACAGTATTATTAGTGTTCTTTTACAAAGGGTGCAGTTGTACACCTAATATGAAATATTCTATTACTGTACTACAAATTGTGCAGGCTATAGTGTTGTCACTCAGTGTGTGTGTACAGTATAGCCAGCAGAGAGCAGCAATAAGCAGTGCTTTTGTTTATACTTATCAAAGAGAACAAGTCACAACTAAAGCATTTAATAGGGATTTTTCAACATGATCATATTCCCTAATGCATACAGTATGATATCGCTGGGGTAGTTAAAATGGATACGGTAGCCATATTGTGTAACCTGAAGAACATAAAAAATTAGGAAGGAAAGGACCAAATATATACTGAAATGTATTACATGCCCACAAAGTTAGTTTTTCACTGTCATGTCAGTCGTATTACCAGTCAGTGTCTTGATTGTATTGGGTTGTTTATCACAAATGATCCATGTTCAAAAAGCCATCTTGAAAATTAAGTAGTGTGTTTGTACATCTATTATATTGCAATGGTACACGTACTCATTCAAGACACAACAATTTAGCCGTAAGACAATTTATTATCACATTAATCTACATGCGTTGCCCCATCTCTTAGGCACCTATTTCAATTAATAACCCATCAAAGAATTAACTCTGAGATTTCAAGACTATCTGTGGACCAAATGCAGGATTCATGTTGCAGAAAACAACAAAAGTTTTTTTTTAGATTTGTTTAGTTTCAAATCCAGTAATATTATTTTATACATATGAAGACAGTAGAGCCAGCAGAGAGCAGCAATAAGCCAATCTTGTGTAAGCAAATTGCTTTTTCTCTATTGAAAACTTTACTTGGGAGAAAATGTAGTTCATTTGATTATTGTACCAAAAATATGTACAACAAATGTCAATTATCTATTTGAAAGATTTTTTGTCATTTTATAACATCTACTGACTTGTTTAAATAAGTAAGGCTGATGAATATCAAGGAATGTGATGGATACGAGCCAGTCTCGAAAAGAACCAACCTCTTCTGTGCTAGGCCTACCAAAGACTATATATAAAAATGCATCTGTTACCAATTAAAAATGAACAGACTATCAATGTATGCTCTTACCAAGCAAATAGCTCATTAATTGCAAATGCTTTTTCTGGTCTTCATTAGTCTTTTTAAAAGAATGTTTGGCAATAACGCACAGAAATCCACAATGTTATTACTTTGCTTATGTCTTTTATAATTAACAAATTAACAAGGCTTGAATATTCTAATCTGCTTTAGTCTTTTTAGCAGTTCTGTAAAATTTTAATATGTAATCATAGATTTGTTTTTATGCATACTGTCATGTACTTTTAAAAATGTTGGGAACAAAATCTGAGAAATAGTAACTCCTGACCTTTTTGTAAATCAAATGGCATCTTCATTTAAATGAAGAGTGACAAAAACATTTCCATCCTGATTGGAGTTTTATTTGAGTGCATTTTCATATTTATAAGAAAGCACAATGAGAATCAGTAGAAAAACTACTCAAAGATAGGAATATAAATAAGGCAGCACTCTGGTAAATTTACTAACAGAACAGACATAAATATTGCATAATGATTAATCACCTTCGGTTTTGCAAGATGTACCCTTACTTGCAATACAGATCGCTTATTTAGCTCACAGATCCTTTTGAGTGATTGTGCTCATACAGTATTCACTCTTGTGCCAGACTGTATGAAGAAACTATTCACTTTGCTGTTCCCATATGTTGAAATACAGATAATATACAACAAAACTGCATCCACCCATAACTGTGGAATATAAAACTGGAAATAACTCCACAAGTATTTCTGAAAGAATTGACTCTTTTTACAATTTAAAGACTGATTTATTTAAGTTTTCTTTATAAAAGGCCAGTTTGTTGATTACAATCTGTACCATATGTAAAAAAGAGGAAGTCTGCTTCTTTAAAAATTTTGTGATGCCACTGTCTCCTTTTGCAGTAACAAAAACAATCAGAAAACAGATGTATTGGTATACTGTACATGTAGTCACAAAAACACTGTCATGGAAATAGTTTTGAATGTTAATATAGATATTCAAATACATTTAAGCATTTTTTGCTTTAATTGAGTTTTGTTACAATTTTTATTAAAAAAACAAATGCAAACAAGCATTGTTCTTGTTGTTGTTAATACATTGCAGGATTCAAACCATAATATCCCACAAAATTGGTTAAACAAAACCAATCATCAAAAAAAGTAATGAAACTATGGCTACATCTAACCTGCATTCAATAATATTCAGCTACTGAATAAAAGGCTTAAAATTATTGGAGATTATATAACTGTGTGCATAGCCTCTGTACAGTACATATAGTAACACTTCATTGTTCGGTGATGTTTGATTGCCTTTGCAATGGCCTAAAAGGATGTGTGGGTTTTGTTATTCCATTGAAGCATTTTGTGTTGAACCCAAGAGGTGATAAACGTCCATTTATTTGTTAATGTTAATAATTACATTAAGCAAGAAACATTAAATGTTTAACTACAATCCCTGGCTTACTGCACCTAATACATCTATCCAGCATATACTGTGCTCTCAGTTATAAACTAAAGGTGTATCAATACCAATATTGCCAAGCTACAAGCTTCATTCAATTGTTTGACAGATTTCTCTTCCTTACAAAGATCATCAGAAAGCCATTAAACTCAAACTAGAAGTAAGCATAAGGCGCAAGATGGGAACTACACTTTTTATGGGACACTCTGCTGCAGATCCATTGCAGGAAACACAGACAACCACATTTTTGAGACATCAATTAGCCTAACCAGTGTGTCTTTAGAAGGTGGGACAATACTAGAGCACCAAAAGAATTCCCATGTGCACAAGAGGAGAACTTCACACAGAAGGCTCCCCAGGCAGAGTCAAACTCAAGACCCCCAACTGTTACGCAGCAACATTAATTGCCACATTGCATGTCAAAACATCTCTTTCAATAAAGTTTTAGATATTCCTTGTGAAAGCCCTTTGTGACCTATAAAGCCTCTTTGGCATACAGAATATGGCTCTTAGACACAGATGTAGATGCAGACATGATGTTCTTACAAATAAGTCATTTATGTAAAGGAGTTAACATTCAGTGCATCACCAATCTCTCAACAATGTTCTCCATCTTTTTTTTAGTAAATACAACAAGGCTTAGTTTAATGTTTTCATTTTAACCTTTGCTTTGTTCCTGTTACTATTGTGAGGTGTGTAAAAGCACACAATTAGGTTCCAATCACAGTTGTTTAAATGCATTACAGTTCCGCTGGAAGTATAGGAATATGCCATTCATTTTGAATATTTTACTATTCTCTGCTTCATTTCACTGGGAATCTGTCTTCAGTCTCTTCAAGTTTGCAAAAATGAACATGACAATCTCTTTAATAAACCTTTACTTTAAATACAGTATATCTGACATATTAGTAATTTCTGAGTTTCTGTTTTTCTGTAATACTATCTGCATTAAGAAAGCAGGTTAATGAAGGAGTCACCAGCATCTTAAAACACAAACATTAGACATCTGACATTGCAGAAGCTAAATAATCTTTTCACATAAAGTTACTGTAGTGGTTGTGCAGCTTACTGTATATGTTGAAAAAAAGAAGAAAAATGATACCACACTCCAAACAACCTTTTTTAATTCAGGAGATTACTCACAAAATAAACTTTTTAATTAACTGTAGTTTTAAAAACATTTTAGTTTGATAACTTCTAAAACATTTGAGGCCTTGCATGCACTTTGTTGGTATTTGGCATTTTTCAATTTGGTGAAGACTTATTGAAAGACATTGTATTACAGTTTGTTAGTACGATAGATTTGGGAACTAGTTTGTAAAAGTATTGAATATTCAACAACAGAAAAAAATAAGAATACAGTAGTATAATACAACTCTGCTGCATCTCCCCGATAGCAGTTTTATCCCCCTCCAAGTTTACAACCAAAGGACAATAACCAGAAATCAGACAGTGTTGATGCCCCCAGTACACACACATCCTCCAACACCATGGATCTGAGTTGTAGGAAGGCCCATATAAATGATAAAGTGGTCCTATAAACTTGACACACCATGTCTGTTTCTCAGGAGGTCTGAGATAAAACATGGATCAGATGACAAAAGGAAAAGGGCAGATGTTGTCGCACCAGGCCTCAGAAGGCAATTCTCATGTTGGCATACAAACTCACTATAATTGGCAGGGCAAGAAGGCAAAACTAAGCTCTCATCCCATGAGACGCATTGTGGGACGTTGGTATGGGAAAACGGCAATTGCCAGCCCTTGGTTCATATGCTTTCTGGATCGTCAGTTTCTCAGCAGCCCATCTGGTAAATTTCAAATGGCAAGAAAATGAGCAAAGCATTTTTATGTGTTGAATATGCTCATGGAATCTGATGAGTTAAAGAATAATTTGGAATGGAAAATTAAAATTTAAAAAGGTAATAAAAGCATACATTCTCGAAAATGAAGATCTTATGATGCAAATTGTTCTTGTTTTTCTTTACTGAGCTTTCATCCGTTTAAGGTTTTCCATATGAAATTCAGGGGAGCTTTGCCCCAAGGCTTATAATTAATACAGATAAAATTACCATCTGGTATGGAATTTAGTAGGAATGGAAACATTTTTATTACATTTCATATAACTTATGTGCCACTTTTCTTATTGAGTTTCCTTACATTTAGGGGCAGAATTAACGTATCCCTTAATTTTGTTATGAGCACCATTTTATGTCTTTTAGCTTTGACATTAAATACATACTGTACCATAATTCTCTTGAATTAGAATCCAAGAGTAAGGAAAAGTTTAACGAGTACATAAATGTAAATTTGTGCAGAAACTGACACATCTCTTAATTAAAAAGTCATTCCTAAACAGGTCTGATCTGCTGTTTAAGCTTAGTAATGGCTGACCACATTCTGGTTCTGAAACAGTGGCTGTAGAAAAAGTCCCAGAGTCCCTACAACGCAAACAAAAACAAAAATCCACAGAAACATTCGGTCAACAACCATGGCCACGTACTTCCAGTCTTCAATGACCTGTAAAAAAAATAATAATAAAAATGCACAGCTCCTAAAATACACAAAGATAAGACAATAAAGTATACGCAGTGATCAACATCTTTGATGTTTCCTTTACACATAGCTTCCTTTAAAATGCAATTAGCGGTCATTGCATCTTCACTAGATCCCAGTTTAAGAAAAATGTCCTCTGGTTATAATATGTTAATAAAAAATATGTTTTTATTAGTAGTCCCTATAATTACTGTTTTTTTATCATTATTCGCCATAATTACTTCAACCGTGTAAACAGTACATATAGAGTATCAATTGATAAACTGATAAAAGTCTCAGAAGGATTCTTAGAATAGTAATATTTTATCCTACAAATTGGCCATTAAAATATGTATAACATTTGCATATATGAACTCTCTCAAGAGTCTACAATTAAGTTGACCAATCTATTCTTAAAAGTGGCTGTCACTCACACTTTGGTCATCGTCGTCGCATCTCATGTGGTCAGCCACAAACCGCACCCCGTTGATAGCCTCCTGAACATCAGGCCTGAAGTAACCTGAGCTCTGTTGCCGGAAGTCCTGAGGTGCAGGGAAACTGCTGTGGACATCTGGTATCCGCAACTCACTCTTTCTGACCGAGTTGATGAAGGATGCAGCGTTTTTGTAGAAGTGTCGCGGGGAAGATGCGGAGGAGGAAGACAGAAAGGCAGAGGGTGGAGCACAGCCCAGTGCAGCCTTGCAAGCCCTCAGCTGCTGCTGCCGAAGCCTTTGCCTGGCAGAGTTGTTGTGGGGCCTCTTCATGAAGAGCAAGGCGGGGAGTTTGTCCAGGAACACCACCTTGACCCAGGGTGGCATGGTGTGGGTGCTGGGGGAGCGGTGGTGGATATTGAGCACGCAGACACTAGTGATGATCGAGAAAGTCACCAGTACCATGGTAAACATCAAATACTTCCCAATCAGAGGCACATCCAAGGATGTGGGTGGAACAATCTTTGAGATCAGAAGCAGAAAAACAGTGAGAGCCAGTAAGACCGAAATGCAGAGTGTCATCTTCTCACCACAGTCAGAGGGCAAGTAAAAAACAAGGATGGCCAGCGAAGTGATGAGAACACATGGGATAATGAGGTTAATGGTGTAGAACAGGGGCTTCCTCTTGATGATGAAGTCATAGGTAACATCTACGTATGTTGGGTCTAGGGGGTTGACAATTCTCCTTCCAGGCAGAGCCACTATGTCCCATTCACCGCTTGGGGTGAAGTCATCCATACTAGCCACATTATTCTTCAGCACCAGGTCAATTTCTGTGTAGTCGTATGTCCAGGACCGGAACTTTAGAGTGCAGTTCTGCTGGTCAAATGGGAAGTGCTTTACTTCGATTTTGCAGGCGCTCTTGTAGATGGCTGGTGGAAGCCAGAAGATGCTGCCATTAAACTGCACTATAGCATTAGTAAAGAGGGACACCTCGTATGTGCCATCAGCACTGATGTGGGAGAGAGATAAAGACAAACACTTTTGCAGTCACTGCATTTCATCAGTAAAGCTTCTTGTAATCCACTAATGATTCTGTGCATTACATCTGTTAGTCTGTAAAGGGTTTGGCTTTGGCATAGGGTTATCACCTGGTTAAATAATCCAGAGAGGCTTCAAGATTAATTGAAATTTGAAACTCACCTCTCAGCCACAAATTAATTGATTTTAATCAAAGTTGTGTAATAACTTCCCTCACCCAGACATAAATGAGCTGTTCAAAGATTCACTGAGCAAGACTAAATGGAAAAATAAGTACTGAAAAGGAAATGCATATACGTAACCTCAGCATAAATTTTACAATGTTGTCAATATAGGTTAGCAATACAGCTTAGCAATATAGCATTTCACTTGAATAATGCATAAGCCTGGAATGAATCATAAAATAAGTGTTTGAATTAAGATGAATTTTTCAGTTAATGTGAATCTGAAAAAATAAGATTATACTGTAAATACATGTTCACGGATTATTTTGCAGATTCATATTACTTATCGGGATTTGTAAAACTGAATCCAATGGATTCTTTAAGATTCCAATGTAAGTAATCACGC